AAAAGCGAGAATTGGAAATACTCAGCCAGTGAATAAAAAACGTCAATAAAATGAATTATGCTTGGCTTAAGTATCAACTAAAACGTAACTGCTACTTAGAACTTAAAAACTAAACTTATAAGGAATATCCTCCGAAATATTATCAAGGAATGAGAATATTCACAAGAACAGCGGAATATCTGAAAGTTGCTATTCCCCTGCCACCCCCGAGAAATAAAATGTCATTCGTTTTTGTCCTGTTCGTTCTATGCTTCCTTATCGTAAAGTGTTTTAATGTCCAGCGTTGCTTACAAAGTTTTTAAAAAAAGCAACCAACACTGCAAAGGTTTTTTTTAAGTCTTACGGAATGTTGCACATTTGAATTAGACACATTTGAATTAGACGCTCTTAGAGCGTGAAGTCGGGCTATTTTTCAAAAAAATTGAGAAAGACAAATATTTTTCCTGGCTCGATATATCTTATCGTTCTGRCGTCGTTGCAGCAARCCGTCAAAATAGAAAATCGTAGCGTGCGAATAAAMAATTAGAATTTTGAACTGTATGGTAATACTAATTAACAATTAGATCTCGAGGGCGAGTGGACTACGAGCTGATAGCCCATGAGGCCTCGAGTTTTTAAACCAGCAAAAGGCGAAGAACACCGTTAAGGTTACTGCTCCCCTTCGCGGGGTGCCTTTGTAAAAAATCGTATCTTGGCTTCATTAAATAATAATTAATTAAATAATAGGTTTCCGATTGCACTTATCAGATTTTCAACGGCCCAGTTACCATAAATCAAGAAAAAAAGCGTCGTAGAATTTGTTTAGTCTCGCATTCATTATCACATAGTTTGACATATAAGCGTGAGTGATGCAACCGATTGCATCACTCTATGTAAACTCAAATGTATATAAATTTAAGGGAAGAATATTATGAAGTAGGTAAAAAAGACACGACACGACCCGACCCGACCCGACCCGAATCGACCCGAATCGAATGAATCGAAATTACAAGCAATAAAGTCTAATATTGAATCGAATCATCAACAAATTGTCATTGAGAGCTACGATGAGAAAAAACACGTGCAGCGAGAACTGAACTGAGCTTTGAATTTGACGTAATTACGATCGATATTTTTCTGTTTGCTACCTCAAGCGATTAAGGCTTTAAACTTTAAAAAGATTCAATTATTTCGCTATTCTGATGTAAATTCTATCTGATGGTTCGTTCACAATAAAATTCCACTTTGTGTAGATCTAAAGTCAACGAACCGTGTCACATGATTGAGGTAACCGAGGCGCATAATAACCGGAAGTCGAATGAAATAAAAAGATGGATAATAAAACTTTTATTAACCTCGCAGAGCAAGCTGTCGAAGTATCGACCGAGACCGCTATTCTCCCATACAGACCTCGCGCTTGGTTAATAAGTGGTTAGTCTTTCTCAATTTTCAACAATAGCTAGCCCGACTTCACGCTCTAAGAGCGTCTACAATCGTTGCCAAAATACCTTGGACCGTACAATTATTTGGTGTCTCCAGCCTAACAATTTTCTCCTTTATTTTTTCACAATTTTCCCCCTTAGCCCCCTTTCATCAATGTTGGTTCTTGTTTTGGATGCTTGTGTACTATGGTAACATGATCATTGACAACATTGCATTTAGGGGGTCAGGCGGGGGGGGGGGGGTGTTGCTTAAAATGATTGGTATATGTAATCATACAAGTTAAGTTTGGAAATAATTTAATAGATGTAATATGCTAACTACGTTTAACTAATGTAATTATTGTAAAGGGACCTACTCAATCAATCAAACACTTTACGTAGATTCCTCACTATAAGCCTCCGGCTCTCTATATATAAAGATTGATGAATAAAACTCTAATTGATCGAGTGGATTATATTAGCTTCACTTCACTGTTTGTTAATACACCTTTTCAGTTGCTCTTAGGCCTCGATAGCAAGTTAATTATTCTTTTGAATTTGCTAATTGAGACTATTCATATCAATGTTTGCATTACTCACGTTCCTACAAATTCAAAAGAATATTTAACACGCTGTCGAGGCCTAAGAGCAACTTAAAAGGTGTATTTGCAAAGGAGTGGTGATGTCCCGCCGAGTGATGATGCTTGTGAAACTGACAACTTATTATTAATCTTAAAAATACCAGATCAAATAAATGAGTTTAAGTGTACGCTTACGGGAGAATGAAAACAATAGAAAAGGTCGATCTGGAATCKCTTAAAGTGTCCGCGTCTGCTTACGAAAAACTGAGCCGCTTAATAGAAAGTATAAATACAGTGTTTGTATGGAAAGAAAAACGG